GCCATTGGCGCATACGCGCTGTTCATGATGGAGCAGAAGAACAATCCCGCCCTGCGCGGTCTTCCGGTTTCGCGGCGTGGGAAAATGACCTCCAAGCTCTACAAGGCCCTTGCACCTGCCGAACGTGCTGCACTGGAGAAGCGTGCCAAGACGATGCCGTCTCCGAAACGTACCAAGAAGACCAAAGCAACCACGAAGAGTGGGGAGAAACCGAAGCGTGCCCTGACGAAGTACGCACAGTTTGTGAAGGCCAACCTGCCCAAGTACAGTCAGTTGCCCAACAGGGAAAGACTTGCTGCGGTGGCAAAGCTGTGGAAACAGCAGCAGCAACAACGGCAACTGCAACAACCGCAGAAGAAAAGGGTGTAATGGAGTCGTGTTTTTTTATTATTATTACTATTTTCTTCTTTGTTTGTTAGATGTGTTGTGATGCGTCGCTTATAGAAGTTGCTTAAAGCATCCCCGGAAGATTTCTCTATACAGGGGTTTCATGTGATACTGTGTCAGTGTACCTGTAACGTGCGCCGTCCGTTGTGGCATCAAATACGTCTGGACGGTACAACAGCAAAAGAGGATAACTGACAACAGGAACGCCTCCAGCCTCATTGGGGGGAATTCTTTCTTTGAAATACTTTAGCTGTAAGTGTTGTTATCTCCATGGGTCTTTATTGTTTTCATACTTTTTCTGTCGTTTCTGATTTTTGTTTGTTTGTTTTGGTACGTTCTGCATATACCGGGTCCCTACGAAACATAGGGAGTATAAAATAATCTAGCGGTTCCGTCATTCCTACCCAATCAACAAGAAAAGAGGAACAAGAAGAAACAATGTTGCGCTTCACCCAGCTTCTTGCCGCTGCAGCAAAGCGGGCCTCCACCAGCAGCAAGGTCGGCAAGAGTGTCCTACTTGCCGCGGCGCTGAACCCTAAACGAAAGGTTCTTCCCCATTTTCCTGTGACGAAGCTGACAAAGCCCAGTGGGAGCGGAAAACTTGTTCCGTCTTCCTTCTTGCTGAAGAGCAAGAAAAAAGTTGTTTCCGCGAAAGCTGGTGTGGTGCCAAAAAAAGAGAAGGTTGCAAAGGTGCTGGTGGGTCCAAGCAATACCACACGACCTTCGACTCTTTATATGCGCTTTTATAATACCCTCAAGAGGATCGGATGTGTCAAGGGGAAACGACGCATGAAGAAGGCGGGTGAGCTTTGGCGTGCTACGAAGAGGCTGAAGGACTTCGATAAGCGCGTTGAGGCGGCGATAAGGCTTTCAAAGAAGAAGGGAAAGAGCAGCAAGGGTCGTAAGCTGCTGAAGAAGGCAGCAGCGAAGAAGAAGGGCGCAAAGCCGAAGAAGAGCACAAAGCCGAAGAAGAGCACAACGTCGAAGAAGGGCGTCAAGAAACCCTCTCGGCGCGTCTCCAATAAGAAGACTCTTGCGAGCACCGTGCCACCACTCCCCTAAAAGCCGGGAAACAGGTTCTGTTGTATAGACGGTTAAGTCAATACAGAACAGCATGTTTATCTGTTTTTTTTCTTTTAAGGGCATGAGGGGGTGAGAGAAGGAGGAGAAACAGGAGAAAGGGTGATTGGGGGTGGAATGATGTTGTCTAGATCATTTTTTTTTTTTGTAAAGGCGCATGAGGTGCTGCTAGGACGCAGCTGACGAAAAGGGAGAGGAAGAAAAAGGAATGCCAGGAATAGAGAATAAAGGAAAGCAACTAAAACAGGAAGAAGAAATAAGAAAGAAAAGAAAAAAAAGAAGGATCAAATACTACTCCTGAGAAAGAAAATAAACCCGAATAAATAGAGAAAAAGAAATGGTATACAAACTGCGTTTAGCGAGCACGGAGAAAGTTAGGGGGTGTTGAAGGGGTAATAGAAGGCGGTTTTGAGAGAGCTGATGATGATCGCCATCAGCCATCCATATCGGTCTCTTTTCCTTTCTCACTCGTGTGTGTATGTGTGAGATGTTACTTTTTTGTTTTCTTTTCTACTGTTTCTTTCAATTTTTTTTTTTTGTTATTCCTGCTTGGAACTCTTTACGCCTTCACCTTTGTCCCGCCTCACTGCCTCTTTTTTCTTTATTCCCACCCAACAACTCTTTCCCTTTCTTTCTCTATAGAAGTTTTGTACCTTTTTTTGTTTGGTTTTGTTTTCCTTCCCCATTTCCATTCTTTATTGTTTTTTTTTGTTTTTTTTCCGTCTTTCGTTCGTTGGCTCGCTTGCTCTCTCGCGGCGGATATTTTATTCCTCCTATTTCAGCTGTGTGTAAGCACCTACGGCCGCGAATATTTTTGCGTGTGTGCGTGTTGCTTCGTGAGTCTCTGGAGAAAGTTCGTGTGAATTGGTGATTAGCCTTTTTCTTAACCGAGCCGTTCATGGGGGGTTCAGCTGTAAAAAAAAAAACAAGATGAGAAGAGGGAGGGGAGCAAAGCGAGGAGCGGAGACGTACTCGGGTATTTCATTGGATAAAGCGTAAATGCACATGCAGCGGGGTAAACTACCTCATTGGCCCTTTTCCTTCTTTTTGTTTTTTGTTTTTTGTTTACTATGACCTTCTTTGCTGTTTCTGCAGCTTTTATTCCCCCCTTTTTTTCTTTCCTTTCTTTTTGTTTGCTTGTTTTTTGATTCTGTTTTGTT